AGCGCTGTACATTCACTCCCCCCACCTACAATCCCTGCCGGTACGAGACTCGAACCCGCAACCTTTGGGTTACAAGTCCGACTCTCTAACCATTAGGCCACGACTTCCCCCTTTGTTCTCCTAGTAGGCTACAATTCACATTCCAGGGCCTAAATATCACGTTATTGGGGTCGCTTCAACCTGCTGACATAAAAAACAACCGGCGGCAATTGCGGATTTGGCAACACTGGTCTGCAAACTACAACTCCTCCCCGAACTTCCCTCTGCCCTGTATCTTGGTCTCTCATTGGCTGTAGGTCATCGCCGATGTGTTTTTCAGTCAGAACTCATTTCACATAGCGTGATTGTGAATTGCCGTCAGCTCCAGATATTTAGCATGCCAAATATTTCACGGGCGTCGGCGATTCCCTCAGATCGCGTCTTTGATAATTCACACTGCGTGATTGTCACTCGCGTGAACGAGCACCGATTTGCCTCCGATTTAAAATGCCGTTTAAAATGCATGATATCAGCGCGATAAACATGATAATCAGAACCAAAACAGATGTTTTAGCAGGTGCGAGCTGTAATGGCGCAGTTCTATTCTGGAAAAGGGGGCGGGGAGCAGCAACTCATTTGCATTTAAAGAGACCGGCCCAAAAAACAGCGTTTTTCTGCTTCCACTCAAAATAGGCATTTTCAAAATGATATAATAAATGATCTGTGGAGGATTTTGAGCTGAAACTTTACAGACACATTCTGGGGACACCAGAGACTTATATTACATATTGTAAAAAGGGGCATAATATGTCTCCTTTAAGTAAGACTTTGGGGTCAGTAACTTTTTTTTTTATGACCCCAACTTTTTTTTAATTTTTTTTAATTAATACTTTAATATTCATCAAGGATGCATTTAGTAGATCGAAAGTGACAGTAAAGACATTTGAACAATGTACAGAAGCTTTCTATTTCAAATAAATGCTGTAGAACGTTCAATTAGTCAAAAAAGTCACTGCTTCCACAAAAAAATATTAAGCAGCACAAATGTTTTCATCATTGATCATGAGAAATATTTATTGTGCAGCAAATCAGCGTATTAAATTGATCTCTGAAGGATCTTGTGACACTGAAGATGAGTTATGGCTGCTAAAAATTCAGCTTTGCCATCACAGGAATATTGCATTTTAAAATGCATTCCAGTGATATATTGCAATAATATTTCACAGTATTAATGTTACTGTATATTTGAATAAATGCTGCCTTCTTGAGCATAAGAGACTTCTTTCAAACACATTAGAAATCTTTCTTACCCTAAACTAAATAATAATAATAAACTGCAATATGCATTACTTTTAATTATTTCATTATATATTATCATATGCCTATATATAATCAGTATGCATTAATTGAATCAACCAATATATTCTGCTTGGCTGTGATTCTATTCTATTATAAAGCATTTTTACCTTGCAACACACGCAAATACTCGTTATTGGAAACATGTTCCATCATCCTTGGTGAACACAGTATTAGTAATCTCTAACTTAGTGTGTGTAGTCACTGAGCTCTTTCTTTTGACTAGTGGCAGCCTCACAATCACAAATCCGCTGTGGAAAGCTGCATGGTGATCTCATATGGCGCTTTTCCACTGCGTGGTACGACTCGGCTCAGTACGGCACGGCACGGTTCGGCTCGGCACGGTTTGCGTTTCCACTGCAGTTCAGTACCGCTTTAGAGTGGGCGGGATTATTCACATGTCGTTATAGTTGTGCCGCCTCTACTACCACGACTCCTAAAAAACTTTTTCATTCCGCGTCGCCCCATCAAGCTCTCGCTGGATCCGCTCCTCTGCTATCAAC